GCAATCTCCTCTTGAGAGGTTATCTCCACACCATCAACCTCAAGCTTTAGTATCAAAATTTTCCTCCTTCTCCCATTAGCCAAAGCATGAAAGAATTTGGTATTCCTATCCCCTTCCTTGATCCACTTATGTCTGGATTTTTGTCTCCAAGAGATCTCCTCCCTCAACAAAGCCTCCTTTAACTCCTTTTTCAGTTTCCTCCTCATTTCTCTGTCTTGCTCATCCATCATCCCTTGGGATTCTTTTGCATCTAACTCCTCAATCTGAACCAATAATCTAGCTTTTACCTCTTCCACTCTTCCAAATTGATCCTTATTCCATTCTTTTATTTTGCCTCTCAACCTTTTTAATTTTTTGTGGAATCTAATCCCATCCCATTTCACTTCTCTCATCTCTTCACTCCACCATTCCTTAACCTTAGGCAAGAAGTCCGGGTGTCAGCCACATATTTTTAAACTTGAATGGTCTAGGTCCATTACCAAGAGGTTCTTGTCCTACTTCTATAGGGTAGTGATCAGAGGTTATCCTAGGTAGGGCCTTAGCCACCAAACCTCTCCAGTGGTTCTCCCAACCCCCATTAAATAGGAATCTATCAAGCTTTGAGCAAGTTGGGTTTTCTTGGAAGTTGGACCAAGTGTAGGTAGCCTGTAGTAAAAGAAGCTCCCGTAACTCACAGGAATTTATGAAGTCATTGAACTTCCTCATACTAGTTGTAATGGCCTGCCTAGGATTATATGACTCATTTGTGAATCGTATTGCATTAAAATCCCCCCCCAAACACCAAGGACCTTTCCACAAACCTTGAATTCCATGAAGCTCCTCCCATAACTCATTCCTCTCTGTGATTATTTGGACCATACACATATGTTAGCACCCAAATAAATCCATCTTCCACAATTCTAAATTTTAGGGATACAGTGAAGTTTCCTATTAGCTCCTCTATTGGTTCTGCGAAGTCCTCCCTCCACAAAGTTACTATTCCCCCCGAGGCTCCCCACGACGGAGTTGAGCACCATCTTACCCCTCTTATTTTCCAGATCTCCCTGACCCACCTTCTATCTAGTTCAGCCAATTTTGTCTCCTGCAACATCACAACATCACAACATCAGGCACTACCCAAACCCCTTACATTCCAGCTTTGTATCTTCATTACCTTTCAAGAATTTAGCCCTCCAATATAGTGTTCATTTAGAACCCTTCTTTCATTCCCCTCTGCCACTGAACTCGATATCCCCTTCAATGTCCATTATTAGTCTCTCTACTTCAGACTTTTTCTTCTTTTTCCTACCCTTATTTCCCACTAACTTCCTATTCTGCCCTTTATTTCCTAATTCCTGCCCCAATCTATTGGTTATTGCCTCTGATTCAGGGTTTTTTGGAGCCACCTCTATCATTTCCTCCTTCTGTTTATATTCCTCCAGCAGTGCACAAATCTACTCCCAAATCCATTCTAACTCCTCTTGTTTCCTTTCTAACAACCCAATTCCCTTCTCTGATCGAACTCCATCATTATCAATCACCACTTCCCTGCTACCAGTTGGTTGGTCTGGTTGGGATTCCAGGACATCTGTTACAGGCAGAGAACCCAAGTTAGTATCTAAAACCAAATGAACAGGCTTACCTGGAATTAGCATAGATGGTTGCATGTGGACCGGTTGTTGGGTATCAATTCTTGGAGTCAGGACTAGGCCCTTCCCCTTTTCTAGACTCAGCCATGGAAGCGGACTAGGTACAACAAATACTTCCTCACCCTCTACAGTCATAGAAACTTCACTTCTCTTTCCCTTTGCGTGAATCCTTAGGTAAGGCTCCAAGTCTGATTCCTATCTCTCTGGCCCGATGTCCTAACTAGGCTGCACATATGGAATGGACTCGTTTATTGGCTGGGATGCACTCTGCCTTACCTCTTTAAGTGTTCCCAACTCCACCTGTCTTTTGTATAGCATACCCAATTTGGGAAAGATCTGTTCTCCGCTGCTAAGGCTCACTCTTCTTTGCATTTTGATATTAACAGAATCTTGTGAATTCGTTTCCTCCTCTAAGAATAACAGTTCAGTGTTTAGGCTACCCTCTTCCAGTATATCTCTTTGTTTTTGGAGGTCGATACTTTCCAAGCTAATGGTTTCTTCCAAATCTGAATCGGAATCAGAAAGTTCTTCATCGTCTATCAATCTTTCCGAATCAGAGTCAAAAACTTCACTACTCTTCACACTCCTGGGGTTACGGCATTCCTGTTCCTTATGCGGCATCTTCTTCGAGGGTCTCCACTGTAACGAGCTGGAGACCTTCACTGAACTGTTCGAACGAGAGAAAGGG